AGAATTTTACATTTAACATTATTTTAGATGGAGAAAATTCAAATATTTTCACTAAAATCATGAATAAGACAAGGATTTCTACTTTTTTTCTGTGAAATATAGACCTTTACATCTTAGCAAAATCAATACAACAGGTATAGAATAGGTACAAATAGGAGAGAAGGAAATCAAAGTATCCTTATTTGCTGGTGAAATAATTTTATAGAAAGGAGAACCTTAAAAACCCACAGGAAAACACATACAGCTGATGAAACATATCAATGTACAAAAATACAAAATCAACACATAAAAATAAGTAGACTTCCTATATACAAAAATAAAATAAATCAGGGAAAGAGTATGATTCATGGTGGGGTCCCATAGTAAAATATGTTGAAATAAATTTACATAAGGAAATCTAAGACTTGTACAATACAAGATTATGACATAAAAGGGGGGACAAAGAAAATACAAATGATTGAAAGACCATCCATACTCCTGTATTACTAGGGCTAACATTGTAAAAATAAATGCATTCTTTCAAAAATAGTCACAGAATTCAATCTCTCTTCTTCATCAAAACTGAAAAAAAAAACTAATGTTAAATATCAAGAATCAGAAACTCTCAGGATATCCAAGCAAGGCTTGAGGTATCAGCACTCATTATGGCAAGTTTGTTATGGTATTTTAACATGACAACTAAGAAAGTTTCCATCCAGAATCTGACTGTAAGACCTTATTACTGAAGACCCCACATATTTAATGAGTCATAGGACATGGAAAAGTCATGTGGATACTAACCTGGAAATGTCAACCCAATTAGCTCCTTTTAGAATGTTTAAGGATTCTATCCGTTCTACCGCATGAACAAAGTAATCACTGGTATTGCCAGGTTATGATCCATGACTGGCCTAAAAATTTTGTTCAGTGTTGCAATAGTAACAAAAATGTTATGATAATAACCAATACTGGTATCTATGGTCTTCTCTACAAGATAAAAATTATGCCCAGTACCAGTAAGTATCACGAGCATATGGTTGGGTAGACAATAAGCCCTAGGAGTAAACCTACTACTGACTGAAAAACTAGCATAGCTTTAGGGCTGGAAAGATGGCTCAGTCTTGTATTGTTGCTATAATTCATTTTTTAAATATGCATATAAGTGGAACTTGCCAGATGGGAGAAACGTGAATCAAATAATTCTACCCTAACTCCAAATAGGGTATACTAAAGGTTTTCTTTATTAAAAGAGAAACTCATGAATCACAAGGAAACAGGAATGAAGTCCAACATTGAGCCGTGGTACATGGGAAGAAGATGGGCAGAGCAGGTGCTCCTGGGGCATTTTTGTACCCAAAAGTCATGCCCTACCTTGTCCATCCTCACAAAGGCCATTGGGTGAAGGAGGTTTCATATCACCTCCCCTTTTTGTCTAAATAACAGAGTTCTAAACCTAATATAAAACTATATGCAGTAAGAACAGATATCAAGTATAAAATTTAGAATTACAAACAGCACAAACTATATTAAGCAAGAAACTTACATAAGTGTTTCAATACCTATTCTACCCTAAGGAGTCTAAGTCTTGTATTAGAAATGGCTTAAGAGGAAAGTAACCATGACTATCTAACCTTCAACCCCATCAAAGTTCTGAGAAGGGAGATAATATTTCTTGAGTAGGCAGCAAGTACATTCAAGCAGCTTTCAAATTGTACAGTAGAGGACAGAGACCTTGGTAATCACCCAAAGTCTCATTTACAATGTTAAATCAACCAACTTTGTCTAAGCCTAGATTAACTGACAGACCATTTTCAGACAATAAGATTTTCTTTTGATCCAGTCTATTTGGTGTTCTGTATGCTTTTTGTACCTTCATAGGAATATCCTTCTTTAGGTTGGGAAAGTTTTCTTCTATAATTTTGTTGAATATATTTTCTGGGCCTTTGAGCTGTAATTCTTCTCCTTCTGCTACCCCTATTATTCTTAGGTTTGGTCTTTTCATGGTGTCCCAGATTTTGTGTTAAGAATTTGTTGGATTTGTTTTGCTCTTTGATCAGTGAGTTTATTTCTTCTATAGTATCTTCAGTGTTTGAGATTCTTTCTTCTATCTCTTATATTTTGTTGGTAATACTTGTCTCTGTAGTTCCTGTTTGTTTGCTCAGATTTTCCATTTCTAGCCTTCCCTCGGTTTGTGTTTTCTTCATTACCTCCATTTCATTCTTCAAGTCTTGAACTGTTTCCCTTACCTGTTTGATTGCTTTTTCTTGTTTTTCTTGGGTATCTTTGAGAGATTTATTCATTTCCTTTACTTTTTTGTTTGTCATCTCTATTTCTTTATTGCAGTTTTTCACCTCCTGTTTAAGGTCCTCTATTATTTTCACATAGTTCCGTTTAATGTTGATTTTTTCTATTTCCTCTGGAGTCGGTTGTTCAATTTTTCTTGTTTCGGGATCCCTGGATTCTGGTGATGTCATGTGGCTTTGCAGGTTGTTAGAGGAATTCTTGCATTGGCGCCTGCCCATCTTTTCCTTCAAATGGAGCTAGGAGAGGCCTGGTGTCTTGTTCCAGTCTTTGCTGAGACTGACTCTCTGGGTGGATCTCTTAAGTGCAGGAGCAGGAACTGTTCCTGTCTGGATGTAACTCCTCAGCACTGAAACAGGGATGCCTGGTAGCCCAAGAACACCGCAAGGACGTGCAGGCACCTTCAGCTTGTGCTGCAGTGTCTCCTGTGTCCTACTCGAGCCCGCCCTGCTCCCCATGTTAGCCCTTTTGTCCACAGTGTCCTTGGGCTACCAGTCGTCCCTGTTTCAGTGTTGAGGAGTTCCATCTGGATGGGTGAGTGTGTGCTATCCCGGGGCGGCCTGTCCCAGAAGAGAGCACAACCCCCTCTCCCCCACCTCTGTGCTTTCAAATATACCTATTAATCCATTAAATTTTTTATAATGCCTCACAAATGTTCAATTCATGTATTTATTGTTTTATTAATTCAATTCCATATGGGGTAGTTGATATCCTCATTACTGATTTATAAAATTACTTGTGAAGTACATGATTGTTTTGCAAGGCTGTACTAGAAGGACACATAAAATAATTAAATAATCGACCTATTCATTAAATACTGTTTTAGGTTGCATATGCATGCTATGTAGCTATAGAATTCCTGAAATGTTTATATGGCTGAAGCAGAGTATTGTAATATTGCCACATGCTAATACTTGAACAAATAAGAAAGACAAAGAAAGCAGCTGGCATGATGTCTCAAGGTAGAGAGATTGGAGTCCTTTTTCCATGGTGGCACACAGAATGGAGGAGGATATAGATATTTTCTATTTCAAAAGTTTCTTTTATTTTAGAAGAGATTTCTAACTTTAATCTAATTGGTCCCTCAGAGCTATAAATGACTGAATCAAGAAAATGCCCAAAGGGATATGAAAGAAGAGATCCAAGGGGAAATGAATGTGTTCAAGACCTGGTAGTATGCACATGGATATTTTATGAAACAAGCAAATCTCAGCTCCTGATGTTGAAGTACTCTGAACTCTTCTAAAAACAAAAGAAAGTACCTGAGTCATCTTTAGAGTACTGTAGGAAATCCCACTCTAGAATAGGCAACACATGGCTTCAATTCCAGAATCCTATCAGAGAGATGTGTGTAGGACATCCTGGAGGGCTCCACACTAACAACAATAGTAGCGTGCTGGGCTGGGCAGTGGTGGCACATGTTTTTAATTCCAGCACTTGAGAGGATTAGGTGGGCAGACCTTTGGAAGTTTGAGGCCAGCCTGGTCTACAAGAGGTAGTTACAGGATAGGCTCCAAAGCTACAGAGAAATCCTGTTTTAAAAAATAAATAAAAAAATAAAAGGCAACTAGCATGGTTGTGACAACCTGTAGTATAACACCAAGGTTTGAGATGTAGTTCGTGGCAAAACACTTGTCTAAGACACTAGGTGTATCCTTGATTTATGGAGAAAAAAATACCTAAATCCTGGTGAAAAAGTAAGTGTTTTTATTTTTTCTCTTTTCTCTGACACCTTTGTCCTTTATTCATGAAGTACTGATATCTAACAGAAGGAAGTTTCTAGATTTTCAGTTTTTTTCTAGATGCATTTTTGCTCAAGATTTTCAAGTGAAAAAAAATGGAGACTCATTCTCTAAGACATATGTTTTGATGTCAAAATAAATGACCAAAATAAATGCAGCTTAATGGTGAAGTTCCTGACCCATATAAATGAGGCTCAAAGTCCAAAATCTTGTAATTTCTTCCTATAACCCGAATTAATAGTTGTTGTTCTCATATAAACCCATAGAAGTAGTAGTCTACATTATGTGACACTTGGTTCCCTAACTTTGTTGATCATCCTTCACATCAGGTGCACAGTAGTATTTAATTATGGTTTTATTTGTACTTCTTTGGCAAGGAAGATGGATCCCTTCCACACTGTTTATATACATTCATGTACCTTACTTGATAATATACATGTTTAAGAATAGTTTTCCAGTCTTTTTAAAGCCAAGATATTACTTGATTTTTATTGAATTAAAAATAGTATGAATGTTATTCTTATAAATGTTGGATATTCAATCTATTTATTTAATCACTGTAAGGTTATTTTTTCATTTTCTTGTTGGCAAATCAAAAAAATCACTGAAATATGAGAGTGTCATTCTCCTGAGTAGGCATAATCAATTTGAATATTTATCTTAAACAGAAACAAAATAAAACAGCAACAACAATAACAATATCAACAACAAAAACCAAGAGTATAGTGGACGGCAAGAGCATATATTTTGTATATCTGGGGGTTTCCAGATTTTGTTCTATCTGCTAACTTCAACATCCTCAGGAAAATGATTTTTGTTTTTTATCTAAATCTAGATCTGATGTAAATTTAACTTTCTAAGAGCACTTAATCATTCCAAAATAAAATCTAAAACTTTATTTTTTATGTTTTATGTAGATTTGTTCCATATAAGAAGATCAATTGTGAAAAAACAAAATACATACTTCTACCAGAGAGCATGTGGGTTTGACTTCAGGGTTCATGTCCTGGAGAGGTTGGTCTATGTTCTGTTTTGACATTAGACATTCTCAAAACAATGAGGAATCTATCAGAGGTGACTCAGTTTATCCTGATGGGCATCCCGCAAACAGAGGGACTAGAGACCATGCTCTTTAGCCTTTTTTTAACTTTCTACATCTTCACCTTGCTAGGGAATCTGCTCATACTTTTTGCAATTGCCTCCTCCACACGGCTTCACACTCCCATGTACTTCTTCCTCTGCCAGCTGTCTGTGTGTGACATATTTTTCCCTTCAGTGACTTCTCCCAAGATGCTGTTCTACCTCTCAGGAAACAGTCGAGCCATTTCCTATGTAGGCTGTGTGTGCCAACTCTTCTTCTACCATTTTCTGGGTTGTACTGAAGGTTTTCTGTACACAGTGATGGCCTATGACCGCTTTGTAGCTATATGTCACCCTCTAAGGTACAGAATAATTATGAACAACAGAGTATGTGCCATTCTTGCTATCGGGACATCATTTTTTGCCTGCATTCAGGCTACATTTTTAACCACTATCACTTTCCAGTTGCCCTACTGTGGTCCTAATGAGGTGGCCTATTCTTTCTGTGATATGTTAGTGTTGTTGAAGCTGGCTTGTGTAGACACATCAGCCCAGGAAATGGTGGGTTTCATCAATGTTGGCCTCATGCCCCTTGGCTGCTTCTTACTCATCCTTACCTCCTACAGCTATATAGTCTATTCAATCTTGAAGATCCACTCAGCTGAAGGTAGACACAAAGCCTTTACTACCTGCAGTGCCCACCTCACTGCTGTCCTGCTTTACTTTATGCCAGTTGTCCTCATATACCTAAGGCCAACCACAAGCCCTTGTTTAGATGCAGCCATTCAAATTTTTAACAACTTGGTTATCCCCATGCTGAATCCTTTGATCTATAGTTTGAGGAATAAGGAAGTAAAAGGTTCTCTGAAGAAAGTACTATGGAAAGTGACCTTCCTACTTGAGAAATTCTAGAGAAAGTATCAGAAACTATTACTTTGCTATCACACTTCCTACAAAATGTATTTCATTTTCTATAACCAAGAACAGAGATATTACCATTGCTCATTTTACCAGTGATCAGGACTTGATGAACAAGTGTAAATCACTAAAGATTAAATTACTAATAAATTCTTCTACCAGAAAGAATGATACTTTTCTCAAATTTCTCTTCCTTTTCTTATCTTACGATCATCTTCCTATGGATATTTTCTCCACAGTCCTTTGTTGTAATTATTTAAATGTCTCTTCAAATGTCTGCATGGAATATATTTTCCTTTCAAAGTCTAGAAGTTGCTGCAAAAGAACTAAGAGCAGATCAAGCCAATGACTTTGGGAACTTTCCTGATTTGAAACCAAAGCAACTGTTCAGTAAAAATGAATACAACAGTCAAGTGCCTCTAGATATGACATGATTCAGGTTTCCTACAGATGAATCAGGGACCTCGTGTGGCATATGTAGCCATCTGCTGGTCTCATTGTCAGAGTGATGAAAGTGTGGAGGCTGCAATCAGGAAGTTCCTGAGAATGGAAGGCTGGCTCTATTGGTCTTTTTACTATTTTAATTTTGTTTGGTATCCTAAGCATAAGCAAAAGTCCATGAAAACTCCAATCAGTAGTTGGTTTGTGGCTCTGGATATTCTTTACATGCAAGGCACGACTTTACTGTTTCCCCTCATAAAACACTTTTTTGTTTATTTATGAGATTATAATTTAATTACAGTATTTCCTTCTTTTTTTTTCTCCCTCCAAACCATACCATATACCCTTTCCCACCTTCTTCAAATTCATGGCCTTGGATTTCATTTTTTTTTTTGTAGACAGGGTTTCTCTGTGGCTTTGGAGCCTGTCCTGGAGCTAGCTCGGTAGACCAGGCTGGTCTCGAACTCACAGAGATCTGCCTGCCTCTGCCTCCCGAGTGCTGGGATTAAAGGCGTGCGCCACCATCGCCCGGCTGGATTTCATTAATTTTTATTACATGCTTATATGTGTTTATATATACATATGTATCCCTAAATGTACCCTGTTGAGTTCTTTTTGTAGGGTTGAAGGTATGCAGGTTTTTTCCCATTCAGTTTGCAATGGTAGTCATAGTTCTCATTTAGAAAAGAACTTTTATTAAATAAAATAAAGAAGGTGGTAGTATTATTTTCTAGTCATGCAACAATCAAACATTTTTGGAGTCCTCACTACTTTGGACCAAGTGTAAGATAGAGAATAGTCAGGAAAGCATAACAAAAGAGAAGTGATTATTGGGCTGGTACTGGCATCAGCAGATGCTGATGAGGTCAAGGCCCTCTATGTATTGCTATCATTCCCTGATAAGTCAATTAAGAGCTCCAAATGAGTTATAAATAATGAAATTTCAAATTATTGTTTAGAAAGAAACAGCATATTTAGGAAGAGGTAATGTTTTTATTTTTCTCATCACAGGTTGCATCAACTTTTATCCCTCAGTATTTTGAGGATAGCAATTTTCTCTTGCATTTGTTTTATATTGATATTAATAAGAAAAAATTATCATTCATTTATTAAAGATATTGAAAAAGATAACTTTTTTGTTGCCTTGCTCAATATTCAAACAATTACATGTGTGTATGTGTCTGTGTTAGTGTATGTACTGTTTATGTCAGTAATCCCAGAGCGAGGGCCAGAAAGGTTAGGAGATGCCTTGGATCTGTAGTTGCAGGTGATTGTTAGCACTCCGATGTGGGTGATGCGAACTCAACTTGGTTTACATGGAGGAGCAGCAAATGCTTTTTAACACCGAGTCATGTGTTGTCTCCCCATTTCTTTCCTCGACATTTTAATAACTGTACCTTCCCATGTCTAAGGCTTTATACTACATGTCATAAGAACAAATTTCATACTTGTACTATTAAGCACTGTTCATGTATGTTCACATCACACTTTTTCAGCTCATTTTTCTGTCTTCTAATCTCTGACATGTGAAACTAATAGAAATACTTTGCTTGTTTCACATTGCTATTCTTTTTCTCTCCACTAAAATATAAACAATGAATTAGGAGCTTTTCTTATGCTGCTTACTGTTGTACCTAAAGAATCTCACATTATTTAATTAAATTTTAGAGAAAATAGAATATGAAGTTTTCAAATCATACTTTTGACTTTTTTCTTAAGGTAATGATGTTTTTTTTCCATGTCCCATTCTTCTTGAAATAGCTGTGTGCTGCAATTCTTCATCCTTTCCCTTTCTAAAAACTTGTATTTTTGAACTGATTTATCCTAATCTCTATCTTAAACAGTTCAGACTCCTATGCATGAGAGTTTAAGAAAAGAAACTGTGACTAAAGAGGAGGCTGATTATAACATCAGTGATGTCGAGTGGTTGGGACATTGCATGTTCATAGCTAATTTATACCGGGACATATTTACTTTGCTTAGGAGGCATTTATCAATTTCTTAACAACTTTTGTGACCATTGGGTAAATCTTTTGCAATGCCTGAGAAAATCACTAGTATCTACTAACCAAACTGCTAAAAACGCTGTCCACTAACTTCTAAAGCTACAGTATAGTACTGTCACCTCTACTCTGCTGTGACCTACCTATGTACCCATAAATTCAACTGAATACCATGTTAATTTATGACTTTCTTTGTTCCTTTATTCTAAAATGGCTATGAAACTGCTAGCTCTTTGTATCATGATGTTTGAGGAAGCCTAAATCGATGTTCCTAGGCTATATCTATTCATATTTTGCTCCAGAATAAACAATTGTTTTTCCTCTTTTGCGCATAGAGATGTTTCATTCATTGATCACAATTAAGACTATCTAAAACAATTTCTTTAAAACAGAAGGCTAGTTAGCCATACATCTGTAGCTTTTTCTCTACCTAACAGGGATAGTTATCGTGCTGATAATAATGAGACACATGAACTGCTAACAACAGTGTATAAAATTGAATAATAGCATGGATGTTGGTGTTGGTAACACTTCTAAGAAAAAGGGACAGGAGACATGTTTTTATCTCCCAACCCTGTGCCGAGTCAGCTTTAAGATCCATTTGTATAGTATATTAAATCCTCACATTGCTTGATGAAAGTTTGCATTAGAATCCATATTCTCTTTAAATGTGGAAACCGAGTTCTATAACAGGTAAGAACCTTTAGCAGAATAACATTTAATCAGAAGAGCTCACATTTAAAATAAAATCTACCTCACAACAAATGTAACATTTTGTTTTTATATTTTATTGTTAAGAATTATTTATATTTCCCATGATTTCTTGTGTACATAGTTTCGAAGAGTCAAGATTCATTCCAGTTTACAAGATAAATAGGAAAAAAATAGTTATCACAAAAAACTGAAGGGCTTTGTTTCATCGATGGCCTGGTCTACCTTAGCATATACAGATATGCGTATCATGAGCACACGAACTTGTAATTTTAATAAGTAACATTTGATGGATACTTTCTATGTATCAGCCAATGGGATATTCTAATAATTATGAATACTTTTGAGGAATAAGAGATATTACTATTCAAAATTTAATAAAATAATGCAGAAATATATAGGAAATTCGATACTAACCCAAATTAAGTCATGAAAAATCACTTGTCATATTAGAGGTATTTGTATTATATTTTGATTTAAAATTTTTATATTTCTCCCTTCAAATCCTTCTACATACACCTCCTTAATCTTTAAAATCAATAATGTCTTTTTTCACTACTTGTATTACATGCATATGTATATTCACAAAGATGCATATATATGTTCATAAATTTGACCTATTTAATCAATATTTTGCTACCTGTTTGTATGCTTTCAGTGCTCACTTTGGCATACTCAGGGAGCATACTCTGGAGATTTACACAAAATTCCACTAAACATAACACAAAATGCACAAGTCCAGGCAAAAAATGAAAACAGATGTAAACTACCAGCATGATTAGATGATGTTGTATAACTTGTTACAATACACACACACATATATATATATATATCTATATATCTATATATATATTGATAAATTGAAATAACTAATCTCTGATCTCAAATTTTTTATATATCTTTTAATGTGCAAGTTAATGGAGCCACTTTTTAATATTTTGTAAAGTACTAATTGGGGTAGTGATGAATATGGTTCTCTCAAAATTAGTCTGTGTGCCTTCTTCTTACTACCCAGAAATCCTTTAAGTACAAGTCCAATAAGAAGTGAACTGCTAGTTTACAAAAATTTACCAACCATGAAAGTCATAAAGCTTTTAACCTAACTCAGAGATCAAACCAACAGACATATTTCCAAATCAGAGCCTAAACTTTCCTATCTAAGCCTTTGATGAAACAGTTGCATGGGGATGTTTATATTGCTCAAAGATGGTGCCCAACCTATCTACTAAAAACAAAATGTACAATCTTGGTCAGTTGATGTAATTCTTGGAGTCATAATATAAAACTTAAATAAACTCAAAGAGTTTAATTGAATTTCACTGAAGACTGAAAGAGTTAATATATGTAAAGTTTTAGGCTCAGTATCTGGTCATATAACTTGAAATTTTGTTTGAGTTTGTGGTAATTTGAATGAAAGTGACCCCCAAAATGAGTGGCACTGTTAAAGGGTGTGGACTAGTTGGAAGAAGTGTGTCACTGTAGGGGTGATTTGAGGATTTGAGTTTTTTTTTTTTTTTCTCAAACCTCCCTCAGTGTGACAGTAAACTGACTTCCTGTTGCCTGCAATTGTAGAACTCTGACCTCAAGCACCATAGCTGCTTGCACACTGCCACGCTCCCCTTCATGATCATACAGACTGAATCTGGAAATTTATAAGCAAGCCACCCTCAATTAAATGCTTCTTTGTTGTAAGAGTTGCTGCAGTCATGGTGCCTCTTCACAGCAATAGAAAACCCTAAGGCAGGGTTTTTTAGCTAGAGTCTACATTCAAAACATTCTTATGAATTTGACCAACTTAAGGGGAATCTAGTTCAGCTTTGTCCTGGTCTTCTCCATGGGATATGCCGTTCATTCTTCAGAATGCATGTGAGTTAACCTGCTACTAAACTGTTTATTATTCTAACTTCTCCATGAAAGGAACTTACTATTATTTAATGTTGATCTTACTAATATTTATTTAACAACATGGAATATGTAATAAAACCAAGTAATCTCTGGATTAAGGTAAAATGTGGGAACAAAGGACTCATTCCAAATAAAAATCTCTCTCTTTATGGATGTAAAAGAAGGTCTTTAAAATGCTTAGATGTGGGCTGGAGAGATGGCTCAGTGGTTAAGAGCATTGCCTGCTCTTCCAAAGGTCCTGAGTTCAATTTCCTGCAACCACATGGTGGCTCACAACCATCTGTAATGAGGTCTGGTGCCCTCTTCTGGCCGGCAGACATACACACAGACAGAATATTGTATGCATAATAAATAAATAAATATTTAAAAAAATAAATAAAATGCTTAGATGCTTAAACACTATGGAGCTCACTCCTTCCCAAGAAAAATTATTTCAGTGAAGATTTTTCTTTCTTGCTGTGCTGCAATGCATAGAAAACATTTTATAATCCTGTATGCCTTATTGTTTACTCCATGGGAACTTTGGTAAGTAGACCAGGAATCAGACCTGAAGTCTCGCATCAGTCAATAATAACAGTTATCAGCACGAAAAATTGAAAGGCTTGGTTTTGAAGTCAGAACTAGTTTAGGTCAGTTCTCACTGTGTGACTGAGTTATTAAGTATCAGTGTTTTATTTTCCTCTCCTACTCAATTAGACAGTTTAATTAATAGAAAAAATAATCATTAAATTTAAGGTAATACTGAAGTGCCTTACAAATGTTTGATCAATACTCATCTTTAAATTAAATTATAGCTACATGGAAGAGTTTACATCTACAACACTGATTTATAACTTTGAATACACTATATTAACATATTTAAAGAGCCTTAATGTAAGGACACATATGGTGACAGAATATTCCTGTCCTATTCATTAAATTCTGTTTTAAGCGTGAATTATAGATAGTCACAGAGTCATGAAAATGTTTATATAATTGAAGTGAGAGTTTTGGGTTTTTGCCTTAGGCAAAGTCTTTAATATGTAACAGAGGCATTGATGTTATCAAGACCTTTCAGTCTTCAATCTGAGATTAGTTTATCACGCAGTCTGGCATATGGGAAGAAATTATTTCTGTTTCTAAAACTCTATTGTTTAAATTTAACGAATAATTTAGTGAAGGTACATCTAATTGGTTCCTCAGGGATACCAATGACTAAATCATAAAAAAAAAAAAAAATCTCCAAGGGCTTCTGAAAGAAGGTGTCTTGGGGGATAATAAACATGTTCAAAACTTGAAAGCACGCCCATGCCATGAACATTACTGTATAAACACTGAATCTCAGTCCCAGAACAAAGAACTAAACTTGGGTTATATTACAATTTTGTAGAAAGTTCCAGTGTAAAGTGGCAAGTATCTCCAGTTCCAGTGGTCTTGTGGCAACTGGGATGGTTATGATCAGTGAGAGCATCATAGTAAGTTCAAGGTCAGCCTAAACTGGCAAGACATTATCTCAGAAAACCCAGGGTCGGTTATACAGCTCAGCAATAGAGAACTGACCTAGCAGTCTTTGACAGTGGGTCTAATTATTTACACAGGAAAAAAATCCAACTTGATTATGGCAGAAAATATGGTTTTATTTTTTTCCTTGTTTCTAATAGCAGGAATTTTCCAAATATTGTTTTATTTTTCTGAAAATAAGTTCTAATTAAGAATATCATAGAACTATTTTCTTAGGTACATGTTTTTACATAGGAATAAACTGTTCTTTCTCATAAGTGCGGAAAAGTGGTAATCTGTCTTCTGAGGCATTTGGTTTTCTAATTTGTGTTAACCTTAAAATTATAAGTGCATAATAGTCCCCATTGTGATGTAAGTTACATTTCTTTTGATTGATAATGTTCAACATATTCCTATAACTTATTTACATTTATTTAACGGTTTTTATTAAAACTGCCTTTGTATTTTTTTTTTGGAATTGCCTGGCTTTTTATGTTTGCATTAAAAAATTGTATATGTATACAATTTCTCATTGAATATGTAATTTGTAAATATTTTTTCTGTAAGTGAAAAATATTTTTCTTCTATTTTTTTCCTCTTTGTAAGGAAGTACTACAAAATTTTTAATTCTTTAACTTTTAATTATAATTAGTTATGGGATTAAGTTTCCAAAATTGCTGTAATTTACAAATATACAGTACCCAGAATATCTTGATAGCAACATGTAACATATTATATAATTTATTCCCTTTATTTATTATCAGTACATTAATACTGTTACAATTATTACTGCCTAGTGACCTAATTTTAATTTTACTCATTTGTCATCTATTGAACTATTATGGTTTCAATAAACTATCAAGAATTTCTCATTGAATTTCTTTGTTTTCTCTCTTCAGTGCCCTACTGTTAATTAAATAATCTGTATTTTTTTATTCTCTGTCATGATCACAATATAGAAAAATTTAATTTTCAGGTGGTTAAGTTTGCTTTATTTGAAAGAAAATTATGAGCTGCAATTGTAATATGTCTGAAACTAAGATCATAATAATTTATTTTTTTATTTTCTAGAAGAATTGTATATTTAAAAATATGCAATTAAACCATGATATATGTAAGTATATTTTTGTATAAGCTGTTAGTCATGATCTAAGATAATTAAATTTTTAATTTTCCTTTCTATATAATTGTTCAAGTTATTCTAGAGTTATTATTGGTCTGCTTTTTTTTTACAGTTTGCCAAAAATAAATTAATCATGTATATGAGAGTCTGTTATATGAAATAACTATTTGGTTCTGATGAGATAAGCCTCTACCTTCTCCACATGAACTCAATAATACAAGGCTAAAGTAAGTGTTTAAATCTGGTAATTAAATTGCAATTGGGAAGCATGGTGTTCTTGTGGAATTCCTAACAGTGGAATTAAGGTTGTCCTTGACTCTTTTTCTTGCTCTTGGGACTCTTTCCTCCTACCCTGTTGCTACATCGAGCATGAGGGTTTGTGCCTAGTTTTTTTGTAACTTGTTATACTGTATTCAGTTATTATACCTGGGAGGTCTGATTTGGAGGCAGAGTTGATCTGGTGGATAGGGGAGGTCATAGGGATGGGATGGGGAGAGAACTGGGTGGAACAGAGAAAGGGGAAATTGTAGTCAGGATGTAATGTATGAGATAAGATGAAATAAATAAATAATATATACATAAAATTTTGGTAGTTTCAGCCTACCACTTTGTTTTGTATATGAAAGAAGGAAATGATTTATTGTATTTTAATTAAAATAAATAAGGAAGAAAAGCTTTCTTTCTAATATAATCATTCTGTTTTTATGTCAGACATAGAATTAACTCTTTATTATTAAAATTCTAATATAGCTCAAATAGAGATTGTATATTTTGTAGTTTGAATAAAGTTATTTCTTAGCAAATTGAGTTTTCTAATCCATGAAAGTGTAATTTTCCTTAAATTATAGGTGTCTTTTCTGTCTGTTTTGTGCAAAGCTTTGTTTAAAATATACTTCAGCATATATACATTTGGCTAGAATTTTTTCAAAACGAGTTCAATAAACAGTTTGTGTGTGTATTTTTATCTTTAATTTAATTGTTTTTATTTCTTTTATTTTTCTTTGCCTGTACATTTGTCTATGTATGTAGTAGGATGCATGCTGTGTGCATGTGAACATTAGAGGGATACTTGAAAGAGTGGATTTTCTCCATCTGGCATGTGAGTCCTGTGAATTGAATCCATGTCCTCAGTCCATGAAGCAAGTGTCTTTATCCCTGGAACCATTTGTCTGGCCAATCTGTATGTCTTAAAGCAGTCATTCTCCAACTTCCTAATGCTGCAACTTTTAATACAGTTCCTCATGTTGTGGAGAGCCCCAACTATAAAATTGTTTTCTTATAATTTCAAGACTGTAATTTTTCTACTGTTATGAATCATAACAAATATCTCAGATATAAGATATCTGATATGCAATTCCCAAAGGGTGTGTGATCACAGGTTGAGAACTATTGTGTGTATGTTGTAGAAACTATTGTCCAACTCAGCAAAAACTAACATCTCCAGTTATATTTATCATGGATTTTTTTCCCCTCCATGTAGATCTGCTCCTATAATATAAGGGTTTTGGTTAAAAACGAAACCATTACATGGTTTGACTTCAATTTTTGTGTCTTGGGGAACTGTGTTCTGCTTTGAAGTCAGACATTATCAAAAACCATGAGAAATCTCTCTGTGGTGACTCAGTTTGTCCTGCTCGGCATCCCACATACAGAGGGTCTGGAGACCGCACTCTTTGTTCTGTTTTTGTGTTTCTACATTTTCACCCTGGTGGGGAATCTGCTCATACTCCTCGCAATTGTCTCCTCCACTCGGCTTCACACACCCATGTACTTCTTCCTCTGCCAGCTGTCTGTGTGTGATGTATTTTTTCCTTCAGTGAGCTCTCCCAAGATGCTGTTCTACCTCTCAGGAAATAGCCGAGTCATCTCCTATGCAGGCTGTGTGAGCCAGCTCTTCTTTTACCATTTCCTGGGTTGTACAGAATGTTTCCTGTACACAGTAATGGCCTATGACCGTTTTGTGGCCATATGCCACCCTCTAAGGTACTCAACAATCATGAACTACAAGGTATGTGCCGTCCTGGCAATAGGGACATCATTTTTTGGCAGTATTCAGGCTACGTTTCTGACCACTCTCACTTTCCAGTTGCTCTACTGTGGTCCCAATGTGGTGGACTACTACTTCTGTGATATCCCTGCTATGTTAAAGCTTGCTTGTGCAGACACATCAGCCCTGGAGATGGTGGGGCTCATCAGTGTGGGCCTGATGCCCCTCAGCTGCTTCCTTCTCATCCTCACCTCCTACAGCTGCATCCTCTGCTCCATTCTGAAAATCCGATCTGCTGAGGGCCGGCATAGAGCCTTCTCCACCTGCAGTGCCCACCTCACTGCCATCCTCCTCGCCTTTATGCCAGTGGTCCTCATATACCTCCAGCCTACTCCCAATCCCTGGCTTAATGCAGCTGTTCAGGTCTTGAATAACCTGGTCACACCTATGCTTAATCCTTTGATCTATAGCCTGAGAAATAAGGAAGTAAAATCTTCTCTGAAGAAAGTGGTACAGCAAGTGTCAGTTCTGTCTAAGAAGAGATAGAGAAAAAGCTTAGATCCTTTTACCTCAAAAACGTGACAGTTTCTTCTTCAAATGATTTTCCTTTCTCTACAAGGGGTAACACAGACATCACACTACTGTTTTGAAGACTTGGGTATGGAGGGCAAATTACTTTAGGCGAACCAATAAATTATTTCATTATCAAGGACTATCAAAGTATTTTAAATTTTCTTTTCCTTTGCTTGATTTATGCTATTATCAATACAACTAGTTTTCTTTTCTTTTCTTTTCTTTTATGCATTGGATCACTACTGAGCAGTTAAAAAAAATGACTTCTTGAAATTTGCATGCAAATGGTTGGAACTAGAGAAACCATCCAGATTGGCATAACCCAGACCCAGAAAGATGAACATGGTATATACTCATTTATAAGCGGATATTAGCTATAAAGCAAAGGATATTAAGGATATGGTTCATGATCCTAAAGAAGCTAAGAAACAACGTGAACTCCAAGAAAACCATACATAGATTCAACCTGAAAGGGCAAATAGATAAGATCGCCTGACTAAATTGGGAGCATGCAGGTGGGAGGAGAAGAGAGTGAGGAAGGGGAAGAAGAGTGGGGAAGTGGATGGGGGAGGAGAACAAAGAGGGAGTGGGATTGTTGGAAGCAGTGAGACCCCAGATCCTGAATTTCTTGTAATCCCCTGATCTGAGTGCCTACAGCTGCTCTGAGCATGAGACCTTCAGGAGTTCCTGATGGCAGGAGAGTGGTTTCTGGTGGGTTTTGCTAGGCATGGCTGTCTCTACATAATCTGCCCCTGAACACAATAAAAGAGGGCATTCTTGGAGAATTCAAGGATGACCCATGTCACTGTCTCTCTGTCTGTGTGTGTCTGTGTATTTTAACCTTCAGCCCCTTGCCCGAAGCTCACGAACTGGTTGCCAACGCACAGAGCGCAGACACAGGGCGCAGTGCGCGGCAATGGGATAGTCAAGATTGGGGAAGGACAGAGATGAGAACAAGGATAGAGATATTTTGATTGAGGGTGCCATTATGTGCCTATCAAGAAACCTGGTACTAGAGAAATTCCCAGGAATCCACAAGGATGACCCCAGCTAAAATCCTAAGCAATAGAGAACAGGGTGCTTGAACTGGCCATGCCCTGTAGTCAGAAAGATAAGTATGTTAAATGTCACCATAGACCCTTCATCCAGAAACTGGTGGAAAAAGAGGCAGAGACCTGCAGTTGGAGCACTGGACTGAGCTGCCAAAAGTCCAGTTGAACAACTAGTTTTCTTTATTTCTTCCTTATTCTATTGTTTCCTAATTATCCCATGATTTTCTAAATATCTCACTAATTATTTACAATTAATTAAGAAGTTTTGGCTTTGCCATCCATTTGTAATTGCTGAGACATGACTAAGTCATGTATCAAAAACCTACTCCTGGATGGCCCTTGTCATGCTCTTTTCAATGAAGCAGAGTACTGATATGTTGAGCAACCTACGAACCGTTTGTATTAGTCTTATACCAAGAGTGTTGAGAGAGAATGTGGGGAGAGTAGACAGGGAGACTATGTGAGGACAGGAAAGAATTGTTTCTTTTCCATTTCTAAAAATATTGAATTTTGGTGTGGAATCATCAGCACTCCTAAATGCCCATGTAAAGTCCAAGCTGCAGGTGATTTTTCATTCCATATGCTTCGCTTACACACATGTGGTCTGTGCATCTTCCTGTAACTTTCCACTCCTCGTGTTTGCATCAATGATGTACATGTAGAGTCCTTGTATTTTTTAAATCTATATATGTATATATGTATGTAAGTATGTATATATGTACTTTGTGTGTGATTGTGTGTGTCTTTATGTCTGTACCTGTGTGTATATGCATATTTGCAGGTGATTTGGAGTCCACAAGATAACCTCAGATCCTTTGGTGCCTGAGTTAAAGGAATTTGAGAGATGTCTAAAGTATGTTGTTGATTCTGAGCCATAACTCTAGTACATTATTTTAAAAAAATTATAATGATAGCTTTCCTCTTTAAAAGAACATTTATTAACTGTGTGTATGAAGAAAACTATAATGTAGTTAAATCTTTTGTTGATGTAGTAAAGTGGTAATTGTTAGTTATTCTCCAGGACCCATGACTTCACTAGCTCTATGTAAGAATAATTAATGAAAAGTAGATGATATGATTTAGAAAGAAGGTAAAGAAGGAACAGTACTTATGAAGGTTTGGATAGAGCAAATGGATGGAGAAAATGATTTAGTATACTATCAAAATTAGAGTAAATATTTCCAAAAAACATTTATTAATAAAAGAAATATGATTGAAGTGATATTTTATATTTATTAAACCCATAAACTTTGGGCAGTACTTGGTCACTACATAGGATTTTGACAGAGGGAAGTACAGTGGAAACTGCTGAGGTGTTAGGGACTAGTTCTGGCACTCTGTGAAGCCTAGAGATAGCACAGCCTGGTGTAAAACCATCTTCTTTTAGTTGCTTCATATAGGTGCCAAATAAAATGGCTTGATTTTGTAGCATGTACAAAGAACATAATGTATATAGAAGATAAAAGAAGGGATTTATTTTACTTTTCCTGTCATAGTTTTTGCATTATATTTCTTCCAGTGACTAGGATATAATAATATTTCCCTTAAAATATTCAAATTTGTCTTATGTTTTTTCTTAAAAATTTAGTTGAAGGCTTTGTGATACATTAAACCTTTAACCTAGATTCCCTATTTGCTGCTTTTTTGAAGCACCTATACCTCAAAACTTTTGTAAAATTAAGAATGGCTGAGTTGTTCTTATCTGAATAATAACACATCCTTTTTATCATAACAGAGTCATCATTGTTATTAGTAGTATATTGATTCATAACATAAATGAATAATTCTTGCTTGACCTTAATCATAACAAATCATATCAATATCTAATATTTCAATTGAGATTCGTGGGGCCCTGTGAGAGATCACCTTCCTATTGTAGCATTTGTCAGTCTTATTTATAGCAACAGAACTGATAAAATGAAATAAATTAACTATAAGCAGATAAAAACCTGTAGTGATGAGCTGCAGGCAGCTACCTGCTGCTCAGCTCCCAGCTACCAGCTATCTTTACCCAAAATAATTACATGGAAAGTGTATTCTTTTAAACTCTGCTTGGCCCATTAGCTCTACCCTCTTACTGGCTAATTTTCACATCTTGATTGACCCATTTTTAATAATCTGTGTAGCACCATGAGGTGGTGGCTTACGGGGAAGGATCTTAATCTGCATCCATCTTGGAGAGGAGAGCTATAGCATCTGCCTCACTTCCCTTCTTCCTAGCATTCTGTTCTGTTTACTACGCCTACCTAATTTTCTGTCCTATCAAAGAACCAAGGCAGTTTCTTTATTAACCAATGAAAATAACACATAGACAGATGACCCTTCTCCATCAAAAACCCATTTATATCTTTATCACTGAGGAAAGCAAATTTAAAAACATAAAATATGAATACAATAGAAATATGGTAATAAGTTTTGACTTTAGACTAGACCAACTGTAGCTCTTATCTATAACTGTTCAAAGTTTAAAGTTTACTTCATTCAGAAGCAGACTTGAAGTTTGAGGGATGGCTAAAGATCATTTAAAATAATATACAAATATTTCAACTAGATATTTGTTTAGGTTAAATAATATATGTGATCACAACAGTATGAAAGAGATAAAAAATTATTTAGAATAGACTAAAAAAAACCCTAAGTGATCACTAATAATCAAGTCATTAGATCATGCAATAGTATTCTAAACAATAAAATGAAAATTATAGATATATATTTAAAAGATTCTTTTGCCTAAATCAAAGCTAAGAACTTATAAAGTTTCTATTTACGTTAAATTTTAGAAATGCCAATCACCAGTTCACTGTAACAATGTGAAAATCAGTGTTGTCTATGGGAAGACGTCAAAAGAAGAGTCATGAAACATAATCAACTATTTGTTATTTTGACTGCAGCAATAGTTCTTAATTTATAATTTGTCAAAGTGATCTTTGTTCTTCCTACCTATGCTCAGTTTCACATATTTCACCCTCCTCTGGATGAATTTGAGCATGATGATGTTTCACTAAATAAAATGAATCAGTTGGAACCAAAAATTATAGGGATTTTGTTAGTATTTTGTAAAACTTGCAAATTTATTGTGAAAAATAGTATCTGCAAATGTTGACTCATTCTATATCAAGTATTAAGTTTTCACTTTTTCAAGTCTACTTCTTGAACTTTTGGGAGTATTAGACATCTCAGTTAAGATCTTCACTCCTTTGGTTCGTACATACACATATAGTCTTTCTCTTCATTGCTTTTATTTAATAGTTTATAAAATGTAGCTGGATCTATTTTCTACTGAATTCTCGGTGTTGTTTTATTCTCAATACTTTAAAGAATTTTTGAGTTAGTTTGATCATTGATTCATTAGAGAATTTGGAGAAAGCTCTTATATTTTCTGGTATTAAATACAACTGTTCTCTTTCTTTCCTAATTGCTCAACTCTCAGGAGATTTCTTATATCACAGCTAAAAGAATAACAAATTTTACTTAATAATACATCATGATGGTCTGGGGATATATTTCCTTTACAGTGTCTTTGTATAAGAAGATATTGACTCATGATAGTCAGGAGACAGACGAAAATCAAGTCATCTCACATACTATGAATTGAAAAGAAATGTTAAAACACATTGAGCAGAATCTGAAGACTGAAATTGTGAAACTTATCTGGTACTGTTTTTTCCCCTATTTCTCTTGATTTTCTTTTGCATTTGTTCTGTCTTCTCAAATGATTAATGGGTGGACCTAGGATCCATTTACAGGTTTCTAAGCATCCCATGTTAGTGAGCAGACCAGTTCATCTCACATTGCATTTTCTTTTTGAAAAATATAATTTGTATTTTGAGAGGTCCATATATGTGTATCATGCATTTTGCATTTTGATTGCTCTTAACTCTAGCCTCTCTCATCTTCCTTCCTCTCATGTCTACCAATCTA